ACAGCGAGGCAGGGAATGCTCGCTTTACAACGAATGGCTCGAGCCGTTTTATATAGAGCCATTTTAACGAGATACGAGTGGAAATATTTTAAACGATCCCTTTGACGAATTTATGACTTGAAATAACAGGTGGCCGGCGAGGGGTCTCGGTCGCGGATTACCTTCCTTTCATCGTGGTTTCAGTGTAAACATCGGTTTTATGCGACGATCACCGCGTCGCATGATCGCAACTTTCGTATAATATATTCGAGTTTTAACGTAACCGAGAGCGCGTGTACCGGTCGTTCGGCTCGCGTCGAGCAGAGATTGGAGGCTGCGATGTTATAAAGTTAGGGGAGTGGTGGCTGAATATTCATTCATTCGGGGAATTTTGTTTCGCGAGTCGTTCGATCGTGGCCTCCTTAAACGACAATTTTGCGACGATCATCCGATCGAAACGTTTATTAAGAAAACATTTTGTTAAGAGAGATCAATGCCTCCCTCCTTCGATGTTGAATATTTTTCATCTCAGTCTATTCCTTTTTCAAGTAAATTCATTCAAACGATACAAATACAGGAAGAAAATTTAGAATCTGATAAACGATCTAATTCTAATATTTTCCCTTTAAATCGATCGATACAACGCTCCATATTTTTTCTCATTTCGCATTCTACCTACATCTAAATCAAGTCGTACGAGTTGATCGCGCTATCATCCGTTTCGATCGACACCATCGTATCGTTTCAATGTGCACAGGGTCAAAAACCGGAGTGCGGAGAGCACGCGTTTCTGTCAACGCGATCGGCCGCTTTTCCACCGTCGACAAACCGATAAAATCTCTCCATTTCGCGCGTCAACGACACACAGATCCAGCTACTCGTTCCACGCCAACCGAGAGTCGACCTACGTTTCGTACCGATTGAGATCGGTTCGTAAGATCGATGGAGAGAAAGAGAGAGAGAAAGAGAGGAAGAGAATCGATAGGGTATGCCGGTTGGGACTGGTAAATTTCTACGTTCACGTAGCCGGCAAGCAACCACGAATTACACGCCTTCTGATATCTTGGTTTGAGCTGAAGGCGGGCGAAGCAACCGGTGAACCGGCTGTCGGCCTCTGTGAAGGTCCGCGCGAGCGGCCCTTCGGGCCACTTTGCATAGCCGAGGCTCATCGGACCTCCCACAGCCCGACCGGCTCTTCACCATCGGAAATCTGCCTTTCTACTCCTCCTCCGCTTTCTTATTCCTCCCTCCTCCATCGCCGCCTTTCGTTTCTCCAGTGTTTTGGTCGTCGAATTTTTTTTTCTTCCCCCCCTCTGGATTTTTTTCTTACGTACGTATTTCGTTTTGCCAATTTTGGTTTTATCTTCAGTTGTAGGAGATTTCGATTAGGTTCGAAATTTTGGATTTTTTTATCCATTGCGTCAGTTTTCGTTTCGTCGTGGAATTTTTCCAACCTTGCTGCTTTTGTCTTTTTATTTTCAATTGTGGAAGATTTCAATTGGATCGAAAGATTGTTCGATTCGTTCTGTTCGTTCGATCTCTTGCTTGTTCCTTGAACTTTCGTTAAAACCGTACGATTCTTGGCGAATTTTTTTTTTTTTTTCATTCCATTTTCCGTTAATAACGCAGTATCGATTTCAATTACACACTCGAGATACGATCCATTCGGAATGATTGGATCGATTCGATTCGATTGCGTCAAACGTTCAATTGGACGCCTATTATTCAACCGTAAACCCGTGGCTACCAGCGAAATCGTGGCGCAACTATCACCGCCAGATATATCTACTACCGCCAGTATATCCAGTCATATTTCTATCCTCATGACCGAGCAACCTGTGCAGCCGACCTTGACTCGTAACTCGCTCTCTTCTCGCGTCTGTAAAAACTACCATCGTCCAACCCCTCTTTTCCCAACACCCGTCACGCATTTAATCCCGCTCCCCGCACATTTATCCGGCCTGGCAAGCGTTTACTCTCCGTCCACACCCCTTTGACACCGGCAATATTGAATCGTTAAACGATTAAACGAGACGGTTTGTCCAGTGTAGCAAGTTTATCCGCCTCTCTTATTCGTCTTATCGAAACTGAGGCGAATAACCGTTCCGGATATTCGATTTCCTCGATGAAATTTCATCACGGACGGATCGTTTCGAAATTAATTTTCGAAAATTGTGCGCATCCAGTCAAACTTTGCTCGAGATTATCTTTACAGAAAATCGTATATATATATATATATATTTTTTAAAGCAATTTTAATCCATTGAGATTTGTTCGCGAAACTTAGAATCCTAATTTAATTTGGTATTAATATTACAATGAAAGCAACGATGTGCAAACTTTTACTGTAACCCATCATATCATATTCCATCTTTCCAAAAATTCTCAAATCCCGGGAAATTATTTCTGCAAAGTTATTTAAATCATCAGCAATTTCTTTCTCTCATCCCTTCGTTGACCCAATTCAGTTGGGAGGAATAAAAGTGGGCGGGTATAAATGGAAGTAAACGCAAAGTTTATGGATATGCTGCCAAGATTATACTTTACGGGCCGATTGTATCGAATCAGACTGGTTCGGTTGTGCCCTTCTCCCCATCGATATTCTTCGAGGCGTACGTGCACGCGTCGCTTTAGTGTTTATCAACAGTGGCAGAAATCGCTGGAAGCGATGGTGCGATATTACCACCTTCTGCCGTGACAAACCGTTAAGGGAGAACTCTTAATTCATTGAAACGGTGGCGGAAGCCAGTTACCGGTGTTCAAGATCCCCCGATAATGGCTAATGAAAACTTGTTCTCGTTGCCCGCTCTGATTGCACGCCCTGTGTGTGTGTGTGCATCGCACTTATGCGCCCAATATATCGGATAACTGTATCGTTTATTCGATGCTCGAATACAACATGTGTCTCGTTATACGCGGTTGAAATACGAGATGAGATTTAAAAAATAAAGGGAAGAAATCGTTGTTACGCGAGGACGATATATCATGGTGTATTCGGTTGTATTATCGAAATTATCGGGTACATTTTTTTCTTTTAACGTTTTTCGACCCTCTTGAGGATTAATAATCGCACAATTCTTCGTGAAAGATTTAGATTTACAAGTTACTTTTAATCGCTGTATCAAAAATATCTTATTTACATAAAAAAAAAAAAAGAAGAGTACCATTTTTATCATACTATTTTTCTTGGCACAAAATGATCTTTCAATTATAATTTTTATTTTATCATTTTCCAATCGAATCCTCGACATTTCATTTAAGATCGAGATAATTAACTCGTTCATATGAAACTTTCGAAATAGTTTTTACAAATATAAATCTATTAACCCTTTCGCTACTACGGGCGACTAGCCTGTCTCTGCATAAAATACTGTATCGTATGATATGACGAGTGGAGTTATTGCACATCTTTCTATGGAAATTCTGTATCGATATTTTTTATCATCAATTTTTTTTCCAATAAACACCGTTGAAACAACAATTTTTCTTGTGCACATTTTTGATGCGGCGGAAAAGTAGCGAAGGGTGATTAATGATGGAAACGGAAGATGGTTTTCGTACATCCTCGCGGACACCGAGACACCTCGAAATTTCGTTATTTCGCCATCATCTGCGAAGCGAGGGTAGAGATTGAATGAAAGGGTAGATTTGGGTGAAAAGAATGGCACGACCCTATCGCGTGGCGTGGCGAACAATGGCCGCGATTGACCCTTTCGCGTTATTGTGCAAAAACAAAAGGAAGAACAACGGGGAAGGAAGAAGAAGGAGGCACGCTTTAATGGGCGAAATCGAGGAGGGTGGCAGGGAGGAACATTGGCGGCATTGTCACGATCGTACGAATCCGTTCGTCGGCCAAAGAGGTCAGCAATTAGACGAATAACGAAACTAATCGGGAGAGAACGGTGTGTTTACGGTGTTCTTGCATTGTTTTATAACAATAATCTCCCACGAACGTCGGCGGAGAATGGAAGAGATTGAATCGGGAGAGTGATTCACTTCCGTGAGATTCGACGAGATTGCACGTCTGGTGCCACTATTTTCTCATTTTCTGTTCGAATTAATTGCTGTTGGTAAACGGGTCAAAGATATTCCGTGTTTTTATTCAAGAAATTGAGAAATAGAAGGAATAATACGTGCCATTTCGATTTCTTTGCAAGAAGAGGAAACATTTTATCTCTTCATTTCACAGACACGATATAAAATTTGTTATTTTCCTATCGAAAAATTATCAATGATTTTTATGCTAAATTTACGATTACATACATTTATATAACAAAGCAATTGAAATTAGAACGCGTGATGTAACTTGAAAAAAAAAAAAAGAAACTATTATTATTATGATCGTTCGTGCACGATTAAAAAAAAAAAGTATTTATCATTTATACTCTTTGTAATATAATAACACGACATTATAAAATCTTCGTCCTAGATTTCTTCTTTAAACATCGCCTCTCCCGTGTCTTATAGTATATTTTATAGGACGCAAGTGAAAGTAGAGTTCTTACATCGTATTATGTTTCAATTCGGCGACAGTTCTCGACGACGCAGTTTGTTAAAAGATTTAGCCTGTTAGTTTGAGGTGTGCCACGGTCGAGAGCGCCGGAAACATCGAATTAAACGTGGCCCCGGAGGAAATGAAACATGAGATATGTTCTTTTGATTTAATTGTTACGCGCGACGGTGACACGAGTTAAAATTATGGGCAACATTTGATGCGACATACGTTGTCAAGCATCGTTAATATTACCTTTTCAACCTGACAATTTGCCATTGTAAAAGTCGAACGATACTATTAAAAAACTTACAGTAATTAAAACATTAGTCTTCGCAGATTTCGATAAAAATCCAAAGGAACGAAGCTTAAATAGTTCGAAGTTTAACCGAGAGCTGTATCTCTTATGAATCGTTACCTTGAAAAAAGAAAAGAAAATATTTATAGCATCGATCCAATATAAAGAACATCTTCGAATTTATGGAACGATGTCTTACTAACCTGTTCTATTACTGTAATGTAATTTCAGCGGAATCGGATATTTGCACGTTCGCGACGAGGACGGAACATTTTCACATGGTTAACAAACCATCGACGGCGTTGTTCACATCGGACACCAGGCCGAAAGCCTTGAGGGAATTGTACGAGGCTGCCGCTATAGTCGCTGTCAGAAGTTTGGATAGCTTGAGAAGGGATGGCAGCTCCATGGATATGTTCCTCTGCACGCCCGTCCTTGGCAAGAGAAGGCGAGACCAAAGTCTCGACATCGAATCCAGGATCGTAAGTGTGATATCCTCCGCGTCTATGCTCGTTTCGATGTTAGCCTCGACAGGCGATTACCCATCATAATTATTTCTCTCCCTCTTTCCTCACCTATCGACTGCATGATAATAACCGATCGAGAGGATTCACAGAAACGAAATTTATGCGATTATTTTTAATCAATTGGAGAAATAATAGTTTAGAAAATTTTGGACAATTTTTAATACAATTTGTATTAATCCAGAAAACTATACATCCAGAAAAGCACGCGTGACCTTTAAAAAAAGAATTAGAAAGAATGAAAAAAATCATTTTCGTTGTTAAATTTTTCGAAAAAAAAGAAACGGTAAAAATCTTGTTCTTTTTCAATTTTTTTTTTTTCTTTCTCCCCATCAATTAATGGGACAACAACTGTTCTCGAGTTTGATATCTTTGGCTCGACGCAACGATACACCTGTGCGAACGTAAACCAGAGGCACGAAAGGATTGGATTTAGCCAGGCTGCGAGTCTCGTATCTCTGCTAGATCGTAGGTATAATCCCATTGGTGTGGCCGAGCCACGATAGGGCCGTGGTTCAATGGGAGATGTCATGGGAAGTCGGGGAGATATACATTGAATTCTACACGGTGGTCGGGAGCCATATAACGATACGTATCGTTCCCTTGCATTCTCCGTTCCGTTAATGCATTAGTCCGTTAATAACGCACGACCCGACTTCTCTGATCCCTTCTGATTTACTCTTATTAGGGGCTATTATCGACAATGTATTTTTCCCGTATTATTTACTTTCATTCGTCCTTTAATTAGTGCCGTTAAAGCGGTTAATCGAGGAAAGTTTTTCACGTGATTTGATTTCGTTCGATCGTGCTTCGTCGAGAACAATGTTGATTCGAATCTTTTGCTTTCTATACGCTTTATTATACAAACTCGTGTTGTTCCATTCGATCCATTATCTCGTTTATAAATCGAAATAGATTATTTTTAGGTCAAATAGAATTCGAAGAATCTATTAAACTTAATCCATCCTCGTGATATCCCCGATCAACTCGAAATGTTCGTCGAAACGAAGAATGATGTACAGATGGTCGCGTGTTTACAACGTGTGCACACGCGATCATCGGTGAAAGAATCGAAAAGCAAAATTTTTCGTAGAACCCGACCACCACCTGGCCAATAAAATTAGACATAGTCATGATGCGCGCATACAAATCCACCATTACACACACACACACACATATATTTCCGTTTGAGCTGGAAGATGGAGCGTTTGTTCCTTCGTCTCACACCCAGCATCGAGAGGTTGCACGGTTATTTCACGAAATGGAATTGGAACTCGTTTCATTGCCCTGTCAACGGTTAATTGACTCGGTGCCGCGACCCGAGCCATAAATCCGCTGCTCGTATTACAGTTCTCCACCCATGGTCACGCACCGCCATTAACAATCGGCCATTATCGAAACTCGATCGACCCTCGTCGATTTCTCCTGGATTTCCAGAACTTTCGGAGAAGATCTCCCTCCCTTCTTTATTATTATTTTTCTTCTCCCTCCTTTTCCCTCTTGCGACCCCGTTTTCATTGTCCCTCGTGGCAAGAAGGCGTTCCCCGATATTGACAAGAAAAAGGAGACGCTGCTGATCTCGATCGAGGGGAGAAGGAAATCAGGGTCTCAGAGTTCTTTGATCGGTGACGTTGGAATTCGAATGTTTCGTTCTTCGTCCCGGGGTAAAGAGTAAAGAAAACACGAAAAGCTCGACGGAAATTCATTCCTCTTTTCGCTCTCCCCTTTCGTTCTACACCGAACGACTTTTGATTTATGCTGGATTAACTGGTTTCCAAGGATAATCGAAATATATTGCGTGGAAGGAAAAATTATTCCATTTTCCACCCTAAATTTATTCTAATATCGTGTTTTATCGCGTTTTATTACAATGCATAGTTAGTAGCTGTTTTCAAAGAATATTTTTTGTTCCCAGACAATCGAAGTTGTATGAAACAACGCAATAATGAAATTTAACGATTTAAAAACTGGAATGGAATACGGATTTTCATGGAAAGTCATCGATCCAATTATTTAAAAATTTAATCTCCTTTCGAGATGTAGGTCTTCGATCCACTTTAACGTTCATCTCTATTCTCATCAATTCTTGGAAATGGAATCTCAGATTGAGGTTACGTTTATATTCGGCCAGATCAATTTTAAACGCGAAGAATCACTTAAAATCTGAATATTATAGAATAGAAGTGAACATGGCTTTCAAAATCACACTATTTATATATAATTTACCGTTCTTGATCGTCGATCGAAATTCGTGCCGCACTACCGACCATCAACGCACGCACAACTCTTCTCTCAATTGAATTTTTCAAAATGGTCCATGTTCGAAACAATCAGTCTCCATTTCTTTTTCTCGCGCGTGATCAAAAGAAGAAAACGAAAGGAAATTTTTCGGTGTATGTCTTTCGGTCGTATCCAATCCGATTTCTGACACAACCGAATACGCAGCAGATAGGCGCGCGATAAAAAGATGACCCCTCCCTTTCGCATCCGAGGAAATCGGTTATCGCACGCAAGTTACGTTCTCCTCAGATAAACGAAGATTTAATGGCGGGGCGTCCTTGAGGAATCCTTGATACCCCGGAGGCAAAGTTCACGAGCTCGTGTGACGACCTCTATTCTAACCTCACTTATCAACCTCTCCGGGTCGTTTCTAGCCACACGCTAAGATTTATCGATGCACGCGTCCTTCGAGGAAAGGCTGTGCAGCAGCAGGTTGTTTGCTAGTAACGGTTTCGATCTCAAATTTTTAACTCCATCGAACGGATCCATCGTGTAATAATCGAAAGAAAATTCTTAGAAATTTTGGAGCGTCGAATAGATTTTGTTTGGCGATTTAAGAAGTTTCGAATCGAAGCGATTCGTTTCATACACGTAATTCGTACAAATGTGGACTCGAAGTGATTCGAAAGCCATCGCTACATCGGCGAACGAATCTCCCACGGCGATAATCAGGACGTTTTTCTCTCGGGCTACCTGCTTAATAGAGTGGAATGGATAGAGGAGTGACTCAAGGCTGACGTAGCTGGATCACGTCTTTACCTCTTTTCTAAATTGCGTGCGATTTTTTTTTTTTTTAAGGAAAGAGCGTGATCGCCCTCGAATAATTCTCGAGTGCTCGTCCAAAAGTTTCGCGTTCTTATTAACGCTGGAATCAAGTGAATTGTCGGTTGAATTAAACTTTGATCTAGAATTAATATACATACTTGTAACGAACAAAATTACTACCGTCTAATATATTCTTGTTAACACACTAGAATTGCCAAATCAAGCGAATTGTTAATTGTGGACTTTGCGGAATTGAATACGCGATATTACACTCGTCTAATTATTTCCACATACATACATACATACTACTTTACAACTTAAACGATTAATCACCGCTATAATCATTTTCACCCGTCGACCACGAGCGATGGAAAAATTCGCGAACGTGTTACAGCGCAACCCGACCTAATTTTTTCGAAAGCCGATACATCTGACACTCACACTTTATACACCGGGGGAGGGTTGAAGAAACGAGGGTTTCGGTGGTAAGCCGCGGAGCCGGTTCGCGGAAGGAGGAAAAAAATCGGTCGATCCATTTTCACCTGGTTTGAAACGCGTTGGCGCATCTCTTAGTTAGAAAAGGGCTCTGCCTGAAACACAATCCGTTCCGTATTCCGTGCGTGAAAGCCGGTTGGTCACGAGGTGACATCCGACAATGCGTGTGCCCACGCAGCGCGTAGAACAACGTCGCTCGCTTTTCGCCGCAGCGTCAAGTTTCCTCCAACGAGGAAGAGGAGGAGGAGGAGGAGGCGACGGTAGCGCCGTTCCAATAACGCGGGGATAGATTCGCTCGTCCTTTTGCCTAGGGGGGAGGGAAGGGTTTTCGAGTGCTGACGCGTGACTCGTGTGGTTGCAGCCGGCCGCTATCGAGGATCTGCGAAGATGGACGTCCACCGAGGCGCTCGGGGACGTTACAGTGCCACCCGATTGCATGTCCAGGATCCTGGGAGATACGACGACCGACGACGCCGTCGATCACAAGCTTCCCAGCCCCGAGGAGCAGGTTCAAGCCATCGCTCTCAAGTAAGAGATCTCTTCTTCCTCTCTTTCGTTGGTCGAGAGATACCGATGATTCGATGGAGATTTTATAGATCGAGGTTTTTTTAAGGTTCGAAAGGAAAGGAAGATTGAAGGAAAAATTTTAATAGTTGAAGTTAATAGTTGGATAATTTATTGTTCGAAATAATAATAATTGTAAATAATTATAGGATGATTATAGGAAAAGAGAAGTAACTTTATTCGAGAGTTTTAATTAGTTACTCTTTTAATACCCAAATCCTCTGTTTTAGACAGTTTTTAACAGTTTCTACTTCGATTTTTGAAGATAAATCTTTCTGCTACTTACGAAATGGATTTGTCTTATCCTTTAAATTTTCAGTTTGACTTATGAGAGAATCGAAAGTATGTAAATCAAAGTCTCAATTTATGAATTCGAATTTTAATCTTCCATTCCGCGAAAAATAAATTCTTTATTTTCTCTCAGAGTTTCGATTCTTCTTAATTTTAAATTCGAGTTTCGAGAAGTTCGAGCGATTAGATCTTGAATCTTAAAATCTTTCCTTCTTGAACGGCGTGAAGTTTTAGGGAACGTTAAAAAAAATTCATCGGAAATCTTTCGCCCTTCCCTTTCGTTGCTAAAACCGACGTGCTTCTTGTGCCAGATTCCCGGCGGAAATCGTGGCGGTGGACGTAAGCGGAAAAGGATTCGAGAGAATGTCGACGAGGAGAAGATCTCTGCTGTCCGGGCCGGAGAGCCAGGAGACAGCGGTGAAGAGACGATCCCGGCCTCGAAGGCCCAGAGGAAAGAGACGAAACACGATCGCTGGTACCGATCAGAAGGAAATTCGACAAGCTATAGGAGGGTGAGTCGCACGTTTTTGCGATTTTATTATCGAACCAGGCCGAATCTCAAATTTTCGATCGAGACGGGAAAAATTATTAAACTCTTTTCAACAAGATATTTATAGATCAAATTATAAACAATTTTAAGACTTTTAATATATATCCTACATATTTTCTATTAACTTTTCGCGAAATCTTCTAATGATAAAGCTAAAAAATAAAAAACTCGAATTTTACATTACTCGACATAATCATCGTGACGATACCTTCGATCCCTTATGGAGAGATCGTCCTCGAAGGGATTAATCGTACGTTTGATCATAATCCGACATGATTAAATAGGTGATATCTCGCCCATTGGTATCCAACGAGAATCCTATCGTTCTTTTTTTACCCGTTTCTAGAGAAACGACGGGAGAGGAGGCGGAGGAGACGATATCGAACATGGGATCGAGAGCTCATCGATCAGCGAGCACGGACATATTGGGTTCGTCGAAGAAGGACTCGCCCGCGGAGAAGAAGTCTCACTTCAACACGTTGAAGGCGTGGGGTATGTCCAGATTGAAACTGATCAGCCCGAAATCGAGTCAGCAACAGCAGCAACAGCAACAACAGCAGCAGCAGGAGCAACAGCAGGAGGGGACAGAGAGGTGAGCGGAAAGGATCGAGATGGAGGAGACGATTATTTATAATACGATACGTTATAATACGAGAAATGATGCGAATGGGCAGGCGCAGGAAGGACAAGTCTCACGAGAGGAAGCCGAGCTCGTCGAGCTCGAGCGGGAAGAGCACCTCGAGCATAGCTGTATCCGTGCCGAGCGGCGAGAGACAACCGAGCGTGAAATTGCGCGAAAGCGCGGCCAAAGGAGGGAAAGACGAAAGGGAGGAAGCAGGGACGAGCCGCCTCATTCCAGCTCTGGAAACTGGAGCGCATCCTCCGAAAGCGGAAGGGCGAGTATCGGAAGCGAGACGACCACCACCACGCATCAGCCGAGGTATGACGAGGCTCGACCACGGAAATCGAGCGATTTAGTTTTAATCGTAGCCGTTCGTGTTTAGGATTTTCTTTGATTAAGGGAAGAAGGAGAAACGAAAGTTTTTTTTTTTTGTATCAAATTTTTGTACACGATTTATAAAGATTATAAATGTTTGGGGACGAAGAAAAATAGTTAATTGAACGTTTCTACGAAATTGTTCATTTTAAAACGATTAATTTTCGTCTCTTCTTCTTAGAATTTTAAAAATTCAACATTTCGCTGTAACATAACGTAACGTGCAATTAATGTTTCTCAAGTGTCATTACACGTACTCTTCTTTTCTTTAGATAGACAAATAAATAAAAGATAAGACGGTATTATCAAATAAGTGGACATTCATTCTCGAGGATGTACTTGAATTTTGCTATCCTCTTTAACAAAATGTTTGTGTGTCGCGCAGATCGACGACGACAGCCTCGATCGGAACATCATCGACGTCATTGAGTCACGTGAGGCGTTTCAAAGGGCGAGACACGTCCACCTCGTCCTCCGTGACATCCGAGGGCACGTTGACCCCGGACATCATACAGGATATCGCCGTGGTGCCGTTCTCGGACGACGGCGAGACATCGTCCGTGTATTCCTGCGACACAGAGGGTTATTACACCTCGTTCCACGTGGACTCAGGGTTGAAAACGCTGAGGGAGGAGGATCCCGTCCCCCAGTGTCCGTTGATGAAGTCGAACGATGTCAGCTCCGATCCTACCTCGCCCATCATCGAGAACGAGTACGAACTGTTCGGAAGGGGGTCCACGTCGACGACCACCAGCTCCGCGGGCACAGTTTGTACAGCTTTAATGGCGCCGCCTCCGCCAGAAAGGAATCTAGCCTAACCGTTGTCGCTATGGTACATGTTCTTAAACGATATTAACCGATTTGCACTCGCCATCCTGCATTTCATTCTTACATATTTACATTAATAGATATACATATATATATATATATATAAATAAAAATGTATAAACACGAGTGCAAATGGTCAATAATTGGAAATCGATCGAGGAGAAGATCCTTTCCGATTGGTAAGAAATCGTTTTCGATTTCTTAAACGATTTTAAATATCGCCTCGATCGAATTCTTGATTCTTGAAAATCGGCGAAAAACTAAGGGGAATACGTCGTGGTTGGACAGGTTCACGGGCCGAATCAAAATGGCGGCGAGTCGCCGGACAGCGGGCACAACACCTCGTCGTCCCCCGTGGAATCGGCCTCGAGCCCCGCCTGCACCGGAAGATCGTGCTCCGAATTCGAGTACTCCGAGTCGAGCGATCTCGAGGGTTGCGAGAGGATCGAGAGGATCCGTTCGAAGACCGCGATCAACACTAGCCGTATACCGTCCATGTGCGTGATCACGCCGCCCGGCTCGGACGACGAGCAACAGCACCACCACCACCGCGCGACGGAGACGAGTAAAAAGGCGGAGGGGGGGAGGAAGGGGGATCTTCAAAGCGGCGGATCGGTGCTGATGTCGGCCACGGTCGGCACCTCGAAGATGGAGGTGATCAACGGCCAGGACAAGAACCTGTACGCGACGATCCAGGTGTTGCCCTCGCCTAGCAGCGAGAAGCAGTGTAGCACGACGATGGTCGGCCACCAGGCGAACAAGATCAGCCCGTTGAGCGGCGTGCTGGGCAAGCTTCGTGGCGTGCTTCCGGGGAGAAAGCACGCGTTGAAGAGCGGCGTGCAGGATCATCAGGGGGGCGGGGGAGACTCCGGCGACTATGTAACCATAGCCGACGTGAGAAACAACAACGACAAGCGGCACCAGGATTCGCCGTCGAACGCCCGTTCCCCCGTCACCTATGCCAATTCGGATATATTCAAGAAGGACGCGGAATACGTGAGCCTGAGCGAGTTGCCGAAGAAGCCGGACTCGTCTTTGGAGAGGAAGAGGCAGGGTGCCAGGGTCACGTTGGACTCGGAGGGCAAAGTCGTTTACTCGTCGGACAGCTTGAAGAGGAGAAAGGGGGCGCACACTACGTTCAATCCAGGTGCGTGTGATTGCGTCGGAGGCGATGCATCGTTGCTGGTGATCCCCGATTGATCGTGTCGTGCTACGAGGGGATTCAAAAAATGGTTACAGCCAGATCGTATCCTTATTCTTCTTATTCTTCC